GGAGATGAGATGTGCAGATACTTTTTAATTTGTTTGAAATATTTTAGTGATATTTGTTTTGAAATAGTATGGATTGGAAGCTTCGTATCCTCATTCCATTATTGATTTAGTAAAGATAGTTTGAAAAGTCCCTGGTAGATAACCAACGCAATCCAAATAATTAATTCTTTACAACTTATGTTTTTTCACTTCTTTCCAGTATCACCGCATTTTTTAATAATGAATACAAATTTGTATTTGTAACTATAATATCTAAAATATTGTTTATAAAAAAAAGAAGAAAAAGGTTGATTGGTTTTGAAAAATTTGCATCATAATATACTGGTAAATTAATAAATGCTCGATACAGTGGTCTCAGGTGAACAAAATATTCAAAAGTGGAAGGTGGTGGGTATAATACTGTTGCTCTACATTTATCCCTAAGAGAACTTGTGGTGTTTTCTATATCCTCAAGGTCAAGATCTAGTTTTGGATCTAGTTCTAGATCATCTAAGAAACATTAATGAGATGTCAAAAGTGGAACATACTCATCATCATTGTTAGTATATGTTTCTGTATTTCTGAGAGAAGAGAAACTTAAAGTTGATAGGTTTTAGAGTTCATTAAAAGAATCGTGAAAAAGGAATCACAAGTCAATTAGCAAAGTAGTACACTCTCATATTTGATTAGTAAGAGGGGGTTATGCTTAATAAAATTGTGAGTTATCACACAAAAGTCGATCAAAAATAATTTTAGCAGACAAATTTGCCTGCTAGACAAATTAAGGGATAATTCTCAATATCTTTAAAAATAAATAAACTGTTTAGTTTTATATTATATTTATTTTAAATATATAAATAAATTTACCTTTGCTAGAATTATAAATTTCTTTAAATATAATAAAAATGCTTCTTTAATACTTTTACTCAAATGGATATCACACAGCTGTACAAAGTCTATTATTATACTTTGCATTATTCAATTTTTATTAATAAAATAGATAATTATATCTAAAAATGCTTTTATTGAAACTGATGTTTAAATATTAAGTATAAATGAAATACGACTTTCTATTTTTTGTAAAATCTTTTAAATTTTTTCTTGATTATTTAAGTAGCTAATAGTATTTTTGTATCTGGTACTAATGTTTATATAAAAACAAGAAAAGTTGATTCAACAACTGTAAAAGGTTGCTAGTTTATAATAATATATTGAACAAGTTTTTTTTTTATTTTTGTTGAGTTATATGTCTACTATATATAAATATAAAAAATTAATGATATTTTTTTTTAAAATTTAAAAATTATTTAAAATTATTTTTGTTTTAAAAAATTAGCAATTTTAGTGTTGCTAGTTATTAAATTGAATTTTACCAGATGAGTTTTTTGAGATGTTTCATAAGATTACAAGTACTGTCTTCACTACAAGTATATATCATCCTGCAATATTACAGATAGCCTTTTTGTCTTCTTTAAAACTTATACTTCTTGTAAAGTGTTACCATACTTTACTACTAGAAATTGTTGTGATAATTGAGATTGATTTTAATAAATTGCTTGTATAGTATTTTAAATATCTATATTGTCATGGTTAGTTAAACTGCTACTTTCATAATATGCAAATTATATACTATCAAATAAGTTCTTATATTTTATTTTTAAAAGAAATAAATTAACAAATGCAAAAAAATATGATGAAAGTAATTAAGCAGTAAAACTATAATATCACAAAGAAATGTTTAAAAAATCATCAAGAAAAACAAGTAATGAATTTTTTTTAATTTGTCTTTTATATTATTATTAAAAAAAAAAACCTATTTTAATTTTCTAGATAGTTTAATTTAAATGAAATTGAATAATTATATAACAATTTATATGAACTAGATCCTCCTTTTTCATAAAAATTTCTTTTTTTGGCAATTTTTTTGAAAAAGCAAACCTGGTCAAACACATAAGAAAAAACAACATATCTTTCAAATAAAGCTA